GAAACCATGCAGGTGAGCCTTGCCGTTCGTGAACTATCCATCAAACACCGGGACAACACCGCAGTGATTATGGAAACACGGCGGTTCGTAAAAGATCCCGTAAGCACCTGGGGCCACGGGACACCATGTCATCCCAGGACCCTTTTACCAGAGGCTTCTAGAATAAAAATGACAGTTCGTGTAAGAAGGGCGCCACATCACAGGTCATAGATAAAAAAGCCCCGATCGATTTTTCCAACGTGAGGGATGGCAAGTCCCATAATTCGGTTAATCTCCGACGTGAGCAACACTCAGCTGGATGTGCAGCCACATTCTGCAGTAAGGAAAACTAAAAAGATGTGTTAACACGTCAGGCTTACGGAGGGAAAAGGCAGGGTGATGCTGGGACCACCTTGCCGGGGGGCTCCACGAGGCGAGGGTACTCCAAAGCCTGGAAAGTACCATTTCCTCGCTTGGTAGCGGCTCGGATTTATCACACAGATGTGCATGATGTACAGGTAAATGCCATGTTCAGGTGTAAACCGAAGGGACAGTGCCCCCCAGGAAGTCAGGAAAGAGATGCACTCAGCACAGCAGACCGTGGGGGACTTCATGCTCCTGACCTCAAATCCTGGAGCAGACGGAGGAAGGCAAAGGGGCCACGGATGTGGACAAGGCAACAGAACCAGGATGCTGCCCCTCGGGCCCCGTGGGCTTGACCAGGGCCAGCTGTACCTGGTCGGAGCCCGGGCTGCTTGGTGCTACTTCCATGTTCATGCCCTGTTTCGCTCAGCTTCTTGAAGCGGACTGTAGAATTTTGGGGGACAATTCACTTTATCATTAAACCCGTAGTTCAGAGAGGAGACCCATCCGTGGTGACGGAGGGGAGGGCCGAAAGCCGAATTTGAAGTGGTTGCAAGTCTGAAACAGGGAACGGCCGTATTTGCGGGAATCACCAGCTTCCACGTCCTGAAGCTGAGAGAGCCCCACGGACCTCCCCTGGCCCCCGGCCGCTTTGGGACAGAGAAAACACGTCCTGGGTGGTCCGTGTGCACCTGCCACATCTCTGGCCTTCCTCCCGCCACCCATGTGGCAATCCTGCCTCGGTTCAGTGCACCGTCCATGCTCACGGGCTGCAAGACCCAAGGGGATGCGCCCGTGAGGCTGCTTGGACCATGAGACCTCATCCCACCCCCTCCTCCGTCGGCACGGAGACCCCCGTCCAGGCAGGTCAACAGCCTGCACCCAGAGCCCGCGTCTTTCTGGAAGTAGCTCACGGCCCAGGAGCTGGGGGGCCGTCCGCAGCCCCACACGCCGCCCCCTTAAACACGCTTTTACGAACTGATAAGCTAATAGCGTGTTTCCAGCACCTCCTGGGTGCGGGAAGCTGCAAACGTTTACTGGCTCGGGGAGGTTCATAACAGGACGTTTACGAGCGCTGGGGGAAAAATAAGGGTTTGTTGCTGCTGTGGAGCCGGGTGGGCTTTTGTGCACACAGCCGACCGGGGTGGACCGTTGTATCGAATTGCACGGTTTCCACGCCGTCCGACACGAAGAGCGGAGCCGGATGGATGGCACCGCCGTGATCTCTTCCCCAAGGCGGGGGAAGCGCGTCTGCAGCGGAAACACCACGAGCTGGTCTTGGGTCCTCGGGGAGGCAGCGTGAGCGCTTGGACTCCGGGTTTATGGTGAAGGACGGTGAAGAACAGGGGTGATGCACTGTTTGTTATGGAGGCTGGCCCTTTGGGCGTCCTCAGGCCATGAAGGTGAAGCCCCCATATGGGATTCGTGTCCTCATAGGGGAGACCCCAGAGAGCCCCCTGCTGCTCCCACCAGCGAGAACACAGCCCACGGTCCATGAACCAGGAAGCCGTCCACGAACACGAATCTGCAGGTGCCTCGACCTTGGACTGCAGCCTCCAGAACCATGAGAAGTAACTGCCGGTTGTTTACAAGCCGCCCAGCCTACCGAATTCTGTTACAGCAACCCCGAGGGACCAAGTTCCCCTCCCTTCATGGGAGCAGCTTGCTGTCCTGAGGGCTTATACCTGGCGGAGTTGATTTTTTCCGGGAATCCTAAGACACAGAGCCGGGAGGCACCAGGACAAGAAGGTGGGTGCGGCAGGCTGAGTAGCAGCCCCAAATGTACACGTCCTAATCCCTGAACGAAACCTTATGTGGTGACGTCTCTGCAGATGATGTGATGAAGGACATCAGCTCATCCTGGATCAGGATGGCCCTAAATCCAATGACAGGTGTCCTTGTAAGAGACAGAAGAGGAGACATGGACACAGAGGAGAAGCCACGTGAGGACGGAGGAAGAGATGGGAGGGATGTGGCCACCAGCCCAGGGTGGAGCCCCAGAAGCTGGAAGAGGCAGGAAGGACCCTCCCCTGGAGCCTCAGGAGGGAGCACGGCCCTGCCCTGCCTGGATCTCAGCATCCCTGCCCCTCCTGGATCTCAGCAGCCCTGCCCTGCCTGGATCTCAGCAGCCCTGCCCTGCCTGGATCTCAGCAGCCCTGCCCTGCCTGGATCTCAGACTGCTGGTCTGAGCTGGGGGAGGATGAATTCCCATGGTTTTAAGCCCTCAGTTTAGGGTCATTTGTTATGAAAGCCTCGGGTACCTCACACACCCCGTTTGACCCTGACTGAGCCCAGACAGCTCTGTGCTCCTGAGGCTTTGCCATGTGCCTTTGTAGGAAAAGACATAAAGTCTGGCCTGCTTGGGAGCTTCCAGGGAGGTGGCTGAGCCCCGAGGGCTGTGGCCAGGGTCCCCCCATCTCCCATCCCTTTGCACCACACAAGACACCGTCACACCACTCTCCCTCGTTTGCAAAACACTAAATATCGACTCAGGCCTGTTTCACAGCATGGCAGGTGTATCAGACGGGCACCAACATGGGGTGAAGTGACGTGGCCTGTGGGCTCCTGAGGGGCTGGGGCCCACCCATCCACGCTGGGGTCTCCTGCCCCATAGCCTGGTTATTCCCACCTTACAGGTCCCAAGCACCCCCCCATATCTATTGTCAGGGATACCCACAGACTTCCCGGGCCACACGTGGGATCCCCGTCGTGCTGAGTCAGGAGGGTGGCTCGGCCCCGTTGCAGGGAGGACATTTCCGGGGTGTTTTGCCCCTTTGCACACCCACCGTCACGGTTTGCTCACCCGACCTGAGCACCGGGCTTTGGAGAAATCCCTTTTGCACTTTTCACGCTCTGTCCCAATGCTTCCCACTTCCCCCGCCTGTCACCCTCCCGCTAAGAAACATCTACATCTGCTGGAATTCACACTCTGCAAAATTCAGCACCGGCCCCTTTTCAAAGGACACTGAGGCCACTCCACGGAGCGTGCAACGCTCCAGAAAAACACACGTGTGCCGTGTTTGGAGTAACACTGAAAACCCAGGGTCTGGGCGGCCCGTGGGCCGGTGCTGCAGACAGAGCCCCGGAGGCAGAGACCGGCACCTGGGCCTGGGGTCACCGGCAGGCTTATCGGCACTTTGAGCGGGAGGTGCCACGGTTTATTAAGGGCCGTTTCCCCCGTAACCAGCACCACCCGGAGAAGTCACTGTTTACAACAGCCGGTCCTTGGCGGCCCACCCAGCCGGCCCCAGCTGACCCTGCCCTATTTATAGCTGGCGTCTCCCAGCAACTGCACAAACACGGCGGTCAGCAACAGCTGAGAGGCAGAGGCGAGGCCCCGAGGTCTTAGATGCACAGATCTCCTTTCCTCAGATGGGCCCAGAACAGACCCACGCCCAGGGCGTGTGGGGTGCCCCTCTCTGGGCCCACCGTCCAGCTCTGGGGCAGCTGGGCTGTGTGACTGTCCTCAAGGGTGGGTCCGGGCCGTTTCTAATTCCGACGGTGCCACATTCCCCGAGGCTGAGGTCGAGGCCAGTGGGGGCGCAGGCAGGTGGGGAGGGCCTGGCGTGGCTGGGGCGTCGGCCAGGATGGCTTTTCTGGGGACGGGGGAGCCCAGGTGCCTCCCCGCGCTGGGGCCCTGTTCCGTGTGCCTTTAAAGGGCACTGACCCTGTCCCCCAAGCAAGGCGGGGTCCGCGCCCAGATGCTTGCATTCCTGCTGGTGCCGCCAGCTCGACCGTCCCTGCGCGGGCCCC